AGGGTCATCGGACACATTTTTTAAACTAGATACCCCAATGATGATTGTGGCCAAGTTTGGTTAAATTTGGCCCAGTAGTTTCAGAGGAGAAGATTTTTGTAAAAGTGAACGACGACAGACGATGACGACGGACGCCAAGTGATGAGAAAAGCTCACTTGGCCCTGTGGGCCAAGTGAGCTAAAAATGTTCATGGAAAATAAGAGATCTGCAAATAAAAATAATCCAAAAAAGTAGAAAAAAACAATATACAGATACAAAAAATATGTATAATAATACAAGTTCATTGTATATAATATATACAATTAACAATTATAATTAGATATAACAATATAAGCAACAAACATGAGACATTGTCAGCATATAATGTGACAGATATCATAATAGACATATGAAAATAACATTAATAATAAAAATACATTATAAGTACTCTTGAATATTTTTTCCCTTTATTATTTGTATGTCCGGCAGTGCACCTCGTGTTCACATGAGCACAACTATCATTTAAGATTTATAAGGTTAAGATATATAGTTTGTTCATCTGCAGGAGACACCAAGGGACGATTCTTATGGATATACTGTTATAATAGCTGCAACAGCAATCTTCCTCGTGTCAAAAGCAGATGAACAAGTAAATCATAAACCAAAAAAAATTTTGAACATACTTAAATTATTATCTGTAAAGATTGATATTTGTTCATCTGCAGGAGACACCAAGGGACGGTGCTCTAGGATATACTGTTGATTGCAATAGGCAGTAACAGCAATCCTCCGCATGTCAGAAGCAGATGAACAAAATAAATAGAGAAATTGAATCTGGTCAATTTACAAATAAATTAATAAATAACAACAATTGCTAATTATGTGAAACATGTCAGATAAATCTGCTATTTGCAGTGTTTATTCAGGAATATACACAACTCTTTCAACACAGTAGAGTTCTCACAAGACAGCAACCATAGTAATTTCTCTTGGGAATTTAAGTTTATGAAATTAGGACATGATTCCGAAATAATGTGATATAAGTGCTGTCTGTCTTCTGTATATTTTGTGCAATAAAAGAGAAAATGAACTTCATCTTCAATATTACCCGAGTTACACTGCTGACATAGTCTAAGGTGTGGAGGAGTACCCTGGTATCGTCCTATTTCAATCTGCAAATGGTGAGATGACACCCTAAATTTTGTTAATGATCTCCTAAGCTCAAAAATGCTTATAATATTTAGATACTTTTCGAAACCATAATTAGTCTTAAATTTTACATAGGTGCGGAGCTTCCCTTCTGAATTCTTGATCAGTTGATCTTTCCAAATTTTTATACATGTCTCTTTCAATTCTTTCCTCATGGTATTTTTTGAAATATTTTTCCCATCATTTAGGTTTGCAAACCCAGGAATAGTTTTTAAAATTTGTTGGAGAGAGCCATACCATGATGATTTCTGCTGAGAAAATAAAGTTTTTGAATGCTGGTATGCATCTTGTAATAAAGGAAACGAGTCTAAATTTTCTAGTCAAAGCAAATAATTCAAAATAGATTTGACTAAGTCAAAGTAAGAAACCGACCAAGTTCAGATAAGGCTGCAAAATTTGTGTTTTTTTTTTTAGTGCACACCCAGGATAAATTTACAAAATTTACTGTGTAGCTTTTCACAAGTTAAATTCAAATAAATTTTATCTAATGTTACCTGAATTCCAGATCTAAATTTTGCTACAAAGGGATTAAATGAGCTCCAAATTTCACTTCCATAAAGAAGAATAGGCTTAATAGTATGATCAAAAACATGTATACTAGTTTTTAAGCTAGGATTTAAATTAAAGATAATAAGTCTTTTCTAAGTTTAAAATATGCTTTTAAAGCTTTCTTGTATAATTCATTCTGAGCACAGGAGAATGTACCTGAAGCACTAAAATACACACCTAGATATTTGCATGCAAATATAAAAGGTAAACAAAAATATTAACATCTAAAAATGCATGTAAAATATACAAATTAAGAGAGAATACAGTAAAAATTATTCCAATCTAAATAAACCTAAGAAGACTTGTTTTAGTGGTTTAGGGGTGGGGATCTCAACTTATTTAGAAATAATCATAATCCACTATATGAAGGGGATGGGGGGTGACCCCGGGGATACAAGCTTGCACTGAAATAAACCCTTCTTATCATCGGGAATATGAAAACACATGGTTATTGGGTGGAGATCTCAACCAATGTAGAAATAATCAAAGTTCACTATATGAAGGGGGCGAGGATGACCCCTGGGGATCCAAACTTGCAACGAAATAAACCTGTCTTATTACAAGGAATATAAAAACATATGGTTATTGGGTGGGGATCTCAATCAATTTAGAAATAATCAAAGTTAAATATATGGAGGGAGTGGGGATGACCCCTGGGGATCCAGTTTATGCTGATATAAATCTGTCTTATCACCAGGAATATAAAAACATATTGTTATGGGGTGGGGATCTCAACCAATTTGGAGATCACTAGGATGGTTGAGGGAAGGACAACCCCATGGGTATCCAACACTCCACCTCGATCTAATGCATGCATGTACCAAATATTATGTTGGTAGCTCAAAAGATGAAAAAGTTCTGGCCCGGACAAGCTTGTATAACAACAACAATGAGAAGAATTCACAGGAAATTCAAGAAATAAAATTTATGAAGTTACAAAATGTACATATTCCTTTTCATCATATAAACTCTCCAAAAATAGTCCAAAACTTTGTAAATTTGATCGATTGATTGATCGATTAGGGTTTTTACGCCACTTTCAACAATTTTTAAAGCAATTGCTTTCATGCCATCGCGTATGGCCATCTTTGTGACGCAGATCAGAGACTCCGCCCAGATCAAGCCATAGTATTTTGTTAAACAGGCTCCTGGTCTGTCATTCTTAAACACCTATGCATGTTTTCTAATGCAATACATAGCTTGAAACTTTTGAAAAACCTTAGTGGATTTAAGAAGTTTCAGCATATGTTCTTGTAGATGTATTTTTGTATTTAGGGGGACAACCGTTTGACTATCAAAAAACATAGAAGTCCGAGTAAAAAAAGTGCATTTTTATACCTGCGATTCCGTTTTCCGTTCGTACGATGTTTCAACAAAATATGGAATCATTTCAGTTGTTGATTTAGTATTGAAAATTTGACTGAATTATCTCTTATTAAATACGGTTTTATATGTTTAATTTGTGTTTCTTTAAGAAAGAGGTCAGGTGCTCTTGTTCGTTCATAAAATTATCGTTCATTCATAAATTTATCGTAAAATCAAAATCACTACACAGGTTATACGTAGTGTCAAATGATTACCTGTAATCTAAAAATAGACAAACTTAACTGACCTATTTTGTTGATTTGTTTGCGCAAATAATTTAGAGGAACGAAACCCTTGTTAAAAACACATACCGGGTAACAATAAGTTTGTTTTCCTTTTTTGTCATAACTCCGTAAGATTTATCGATCACCTTACTAATGAGATGGACCCGTCCAAACGTGATAGATGCCAAGTCCAGATGAAGAGATATTTACAATTTGGAATTTTCTAGTTTCATAGATTAAAAAAAGTACTGGGTATGCATGACAAATGATGAAACCATTATCCTCGTCTTTCCAATGGACGAGTCTACTACGTTTGTTGACCCTCGACGGTCCACCGTATTTGCAATTTTATTTCACATGTTTTCGAAATATTGAAGATCATTTTTCACAATGTTTCCTGAAAATTGGATAAATATCAAAGCAACGTAGAGCTGTTTGTTCTTGTTCGTATAATGACAATTTAATGTCATGTTTGTCTGTGATGGCCCCTCTTTTCGGGATTGCATGAGAATTATAGTTATCTCGTACCGCATGAGGATGACACATATCAACTGAGCAATAATGTTTGGGACTTAGTTTTTAAGAAATGATGACAAAGTAACATTATGAAAATATTTTTAGTAAGCTGAAATATATATTTATTTTTTACATGTTTATGTCTTGTAAGATATTTTATTTCTTTCCCGTTTTTCAACATTTGCGTCTGGAAAGTTGAAATGTTTTAACTGAATGGTTAAATTTAAATTAATTATGAAAATTGTTAAAATTAAATCAATAAAGGAAATTATTGCCCAGTTACAAACACTACCAGGGGATAATCCATAATGATTTCTTTTTGAGTTATATGTTTCAGCACATGTATATTTGACCCCAACTTTAGCCTGGTAAACGTGTCGTCTCCTTGTGAAATATAAAACATATTAAAAATGACTTTCTGCTAAAGTCTTTTATTGATCAGTCAGGGGTACTACTTAAAAAAGTGATTTCAGAATCACTCCCTCGAGTGATTTTGGCTGTGAAATATTAAAAATTTTCACACAGACTTTTTAAAATCACTGAAACAAGTAATTTTAGAAGTTAAAATGTAATCACTTTAATAAGTGTTTATAACATTTTCTTGATATTTTTCCCACAAGCTTGATTTTTTTATTGGTAAAAAGACAACAATTCCATTGAAAAAACAACTATGTATATGCAGAAATTGTCTTTTGCTTGATAAGCCTGACACTTTTACAGTTTTTTTAAAATATGCAAAAACTGGAATAGTTTGTAGATCAGGTCATAACCTTGAAGTAGATCATTCTAACTCTAAAGAAAACCAATCAGGTTACCTAATATTGTTGATCTTTGTCTGATAGTAAGAGTAGTTAATGAATTTTTGATTACAGAAAAATTCCCAAGGGTACTTTTATAAGCTTTAGCGCACTAACTTACTGCACTAACTTACTGCCCAAGCGCACTAGTGAAATTAATATACAAAGAAAAAGGGATAATTGATTTATGTAGGAAAATTATAGAAAAGATTTTGAAAATATGGAAAATCAATGAAATTAGCATTTGAAGATCAAAGAAAACACTAAAATCACTTAAATAGGTGATAACTGAATTTATCAAATCACTGAAATAAGTGATGATGAAATCACTTGTTTAAGTAGCACCCCTGACTGTTGATATAAAGTTAAAACCTTCTTACTTCTCACTAGACAACACTCCTGTCAGGTTTAATTCTTATATATATGTGGATGAAAAAAAAAGTCCCCAAAACATTAACATGGCAGCAATTGCTTTTACAGCCTTTAAGGCTTTGATTCAGTTATATCGTGGCGACCAGTTTTACTGGTGGAAGAAGCTTGTAAATTTGCGGATTATGGCATTAACTGAAATCAATGTTATTTAACATCATAAAGCTGTCTATCAAAATGTCCCGATCTTCTTTAAAAATAAGGTCCAATGGTTTCGCATAATAAATAGTTGCCTCATCCATACTGTCATCATATTTGTTCTTTATTTCAAGTTCTTCTATATGGTTATCAGACATTTTAAGAATTGTGAAATAAACCTGAAAAATAAAAATAATAATGTTTCTCAGAACCTGATGTCTCCTCACAAACCTGTTTCAGAAAACAAAAGTAGCTAGTTATGGTAAAATAGGTAGAGGCTCAAGAGATCCTGTAAGGCTGTATTCCTACGCTGACTAAAAAATTCTTGAAAACAACCACAGGAATATATAATTACTTTGTATTAACCTTGTATCTCAGATGTTTCTGAAATCCGGGGGGAGAAATATATTGTATGGTTGTCACATGCTTAGAGATTTGTATGATATACTGTATTTCTGTGGCCGTATGACAAGTTAAACTTGACATCATATATATTATATTTCAATTTGTCATGTGTGTGGAATTAGAATGCTGTCAAATTAAATTTTATAAAAGAACAGAGTTCCAATGTCCCCCGCGTTGCACATATTTTATCTATCCAAGGGCAATAACTAGAAAAAACTTTTTTTGTTTGTTCTTTAAAACTTTTTATAAATATCTTAGAGAAATGAAGGCTTGAGATATATTTTCAAGGTTCATAACTCTTTTAAAAATATTTGATGAGACATTGCTTATAAATATAAACCTTTGATATAAATCTGATAAAAATCTGGCAAAAATTGTACATGTGAGAGCTCTTACAATGCAAATTTCCATATAATTAATATTTTAAAGGGGCATAACTCTTTTAAAAATAATTGATCTGCACTGATTTTCAAACTTGTCTGAGATATTGCTAATCAGGGACTAAACTTAACTCTTTTTCTCCAGGGGCCAGCTGGGCCCCAAACTATTTTTTCAGGGGCCCAGTTGAAATTTTAGGGGCCCAACCAATTTTTATAGACAATATTTATTAGCACAAACACATTTACATTAAATGGTTATGGCATACAGTATAGTACAATTGAAATAATTAACTGACAATAATTAAATTAGTGTGACAGTGGTATTCATACGAAAAAGAAGACTACAAATATGTGTGTATTGACAGATAAACAATTATTAATGTCCATGAACAAAGAAGGATAGTATCAAACAATAAAAAAAAAAAAACTAGAGGCTCTAAAGAGCCTGTGTCGCTCACCTTGGTCTATGTGCATATTAAACAAAGGACACAGGTGGATTCATGACAAAATTGTGTTTTGGTGATGGTGATGTGTTTGTAGATCTTACTTTACTGAACATTCTTGATGCTTACAATTATCTCTATCTACAATGAACTTGGCCCTGTAGTTTCAGTAGAAATTATTTTTTATGAAAATTGTTAAAAATTTATTATAAAGGGACATAACTCCTTAAGGGGTCAATTGACCATTTTGGTCATGTGACTTATTTGTAGGTCTTACTTTGCTGTACATTATTGCTCTTTACAGTTTATCTCTATCTATGATAATATTCAAGATAATAACCAAAAGCTGAAAAAATTTCTAAAAATTACCAATTCAGGGGCAGCAACCCAACAACGGGTTGCCTGAATGGTCTGAAAATTTAAGGGCGGGGTCATCAAACACAATTTTTAAACTACATACCCTAATGATGATTGTTTACAACTTTAGTTCAATTCATCTTAGTAGTTTCAGAGGAGAAGATTTTTGTAAAAGATAAAAAAAATCTACGAAAAATTGTTAAAAATTGACTATAAAAGAGCAATAACTCCTTAAGGGGTCAACTGACCATTTTGGTCATGTTGACTTATTTGTAGAACTTACTTTGCTGAACATTATTGCTGTTTACAGTTTATCTCTATCTATAATAATATTCAAGATAATAACCAAATAAGGCAAAATTTCCTTAAAATTACTAATTCAGGGGCAGCAACCTAACAACGGGTAGTCCGATTCATCTGAAAATTTCAGGGCAGATAGATCTTGAGCTAATAAACATTTTTACCTTGTCAGATTTGCTCTCAATGCTTTGGTTTCAGAGATATAAGCCAAAATCTACATTTTATCCCTATGTTCTATTTTTAGCCATGGCGGCCATCTTGGTTAGTTGGCCGGGTCACTGGACACACTTTTTAAACTAGATACCCTAATGATGATATTGGCCAAGTTTGGTTAAATTTGGCCCAGTAGTTTCAGAGGAGAAGATTTTTGTAAAAGTTTACGGACGACGGACGACGGACGCCAAGTGATGAGAAAAGCTCACTTGGCCCTTTGGGCCAGGTGAGCTAAAAATTATACAGATTTTCTCAATAAAAGACAATCATTAATATATTTTGTGGTGATTTTTATAATGACTGGCAAATTGCTATTCAAAAGTGTGGTCATATGCCTCAGTGTTATAGCTGATTGCAATTTAACAAAATTGATATACTAATAAAATAAAACTTAAATGTACTTTTCATATACTAATAAAGCCGTTTTAGGTAATCCTATATGTAATGTTTGAGTCTGGTAAAGATAACTTTATAATATTTGAATTATTGCCACCAGAAATATATCATAAGATTTGACAATACTGATTTTAGAACATTTCCCTCCAAAATTGTCTCCCTTCAATTCGAACTTCCTGTTGACAATATGGCTTTTTCTATGAATCATTAAATGCTATTTCAAATCCAAGCCATCCTCTAGTAGTGTTGATCAAAAATATTATTCAATTACTTTTTATCGAAGATTGGTCAGCATACTAGATATTTTGATATTTATTTACGAGATTTTGCGTTTCTTTTTTTCATGAAGAACAAAAAGTTGTGTGTACAAGTTTTGGTCAAAAACGGGCTTGTAATGATAAGCAATTCAGATTCAAGAGTAACGAAAACACTAAAAAATAATGAATTAGTTAACGGACGGATGGACAACGGACGCAAAGTGATGGCAAAAGCTCACTCTAGCTTTTAGCCAGGTGAGCTAAAAATGACAACCAGTATTAGTTTTGCACATCATATGATATGAGCTTGTAATCAAAAATCAATAAAGAATTTAGTGGGAACTTTTAGTGCATGTGCCACCCACTGCCTGTCTTTTACATGGACTCTTTTTTTATGCCAAAATCAACCTTAACCTATATTTTATGGTCCATGACATTGTGTATATATTTCAAAAGATTTGGTCAAGTGGTACTTTAATTATCATTCATAAACCTAAATAATTTATGAGTATTCCTCGGAACACATGTGTCGCCTGTCCCCAAAAGTAAAAGTTTTGGTCTGGGAAACCCCAGAAATCAGTGTGATAAAAAAATACATTTATTTTTGTGGGTATCAATTTTTGTGGATAGAGAAAAAAAGACAATTCGTGGGATACGTAAATTCGTGGATCGCTGTTTCAAAAATTAAAAAAAAATGTTTCAGATACGTAAATTCGTGGAACTCTGTAATGATAAAACAAAAGATAGAAATTCTTTGAAAATGTTTTGAAATGTCAAAATCCTCGATTGGTCATTCTAGGTTAAAGTGTTCATTTAAAACCTCGATCGCAAGCGAGGACAAAGGCAACTAATTATTTGTTTGTTTTATATGTTTATAACTTCTTGTCGGAATTTTATAAGGTATTCAAAGCCCTTTGATGTACAACTGACTGAAAGTTATTTTCACTTATCACGACACAATAAGCAGTCATTAGAAAATGATCAAAAGTAAGATAAAAGCTTACGATGTTTGCATCCCAAGCTGGAACCCAAGCCATAAAACAATGATGGAATATTAACTCATCGCGCGGTTTTCTTTTATATTCTCTTGGAACATGAGGTTTTTTAATGTATTATAAATTATAAGTTTCAAGTCGGAAACAATTATTTCACTTGTAATTTTGATAAACGATTTTGCTATTAAAATTGTATTTGTATAATGTATGATATGTACCGATAAATGTCTAAAAGGATTATAACTGAATGGGTTACAAGTGTACATCACAATGTGTTCATGTGCAAGTAAATTATTATTTTGATAAAATGTCGTTTCGGTCCAGAATAAAGAAACAAACATGCTTAAACGCCCTTTTATCGAAATATTATTTCAAAGCAATGTGTAATCTCCCAGCTCCCTGTATAAAAATTTGCTTAGTAAAGTTATATTTCGAAATAAGTGTCGTTTTTGTCCAGAATATAGAAATAGACATGCTTAAACGACAATAAATCGAATTATTATCTGAAAAGCAATTTGTGTCCTCCCAGCTCCATGAGCTCCTTGTTTTAACATTTTGTTGAGTAAGATTTTATTTCGAAAAAATATCGTTTTTGTCCAAAATAAACAAAATGACATGCTTAAACGACAATTTATCGGAATATTATTTGAAATGCAATTTGTGTCCTCCATTCTCCCTTTAAAATTTTATAACAAAAAATATCGTTTTGTCAAGAATTAAGTAAACAAAAATGCTTCAACGGCAATTTATCGAAATTTTTTTTTGAAAAGCAAGTTGTGTCTTACCTGAGCTACCTTATTAAAAGTTTGTCAAGAATTTTCATGAGTCAAAGGTGTGAAATTTAATGTTCCTGTCATAAACACTATTGCCTACTGGCAATGTCCGTACTTAATCCTATTGATTTTTAATCACCAATAAACCAAATTATGACACGGTAATTAACAACTTGCAGTTATTTCCCATGAACAATTTTAATCAATTTAAAAAAGTAAATTTGCACTGCTATTCTAAAGATTTCATTATTTATTTAATCAAAATACTTTTATATTTTATTTCAAAAACACGTTTTTTATGTTACCATGCTTTCGCAAATCAACACTATACTAGAATTGCACAACATAACTGGAAATAAATATTCGACTCAATACATATTTCTCGGGATTATTCTTCGTTGAATTCTTCAATTCATGGTTTGCTGTAACCCATGAAACCCACGAAAATTGGTATACCACGAATAAAAATGAATCTACAGTAGTACGACGCAGACGCAAGACGACAGAGAGTGATCCCTATGTGTCGCTGCAAAAAAAAACATTTTATCAGACAGAAAGAAGTTCAAGGGCCTTGACTTATCAGACTGGAACAAAATGGGAACTTGAACTGTAACAGCCCATGATGTATTTACATACCCAATATGAAGCCGATATTTAAAAGGGTTTGGGAAAAAAGTCTGCAAAACTTTAAATCAGACAGACGGACAGCCATAACTCTGTGAAAAAATATCAGACCGGAACAAAATGTGAACTTGAACTGTAACAGCCGATGATGTATTTACATACCAAATATGAAGCTCATCTCTTAAAGGGTTGGGGAAAAAAGTGTGGAAAACATTAAAATTCTATGAATTTTCTTTAGTTCAAGGGTCATATCTCTGTGAAAAATTATCGGACAAGAGCAAAATCCAAACTTGAACTGTAACAGCCCATGATGTATTTACATATCAAATATGAAGCTGACATCTCAAAGGGTTTAAAAAGATCTGGAAAACTCAGGATCTGCCAGACGGACGGTCAGCCATAACACTGTGAAAAATTATCAGACCTGAACAAAATGTGACCTTCATTTGTAACAGCCCTTGAATTATTTACATAACAAATATGAAACTGCTGTCTTAAAGGGTTTTGGGAAAAATCTGTAAAACTTAAAATCTGACGGACGGACAGATGGACACAGAGCCTTTGCCAGTAGGGGACTAATAAATATACATGGATGCTCAATAATATCATTTATACATCTATAGGTGGCATGGATATTAATTTACATGTATATTACTTGTTTATTAATGTTCTAATTCTGCAATAAATTACCTTAGTCCCATCAACAACCATTCCCGGTTTCATAAACTTTTTAACTCCATTTTCTACTTTTGTTACATGATCTTTTCTTCGAATTTCTAACAAAAGTTCTCCTGCATGCTGTCCTAGCACAGACTCAGTTAAATCCTTCAATATTTCTGGTCTGCAGGAACCTTCATCTTTTTCATCTGAGCATTTTCCGATTTTAATGGGTGGTTCCTCGCACTTTTGCCTTGAATCCTTTTTCACCTATTAAAAATTATATCATAAAAAAACAGTGCTCCAATGTCACCCCCCATTGCAAATATTAATTTTCCAACTTTCAAAGTTGTTTAAGGAACATAAATGCTACATAAATTTACTATCACGACTCATCTTCATACTTTTTCGAGATATTATTGAGCTAAAGCATATGTATAAATTGCATTCAAATCCAAAATGGAATAAAATCAGTAGAGTGTTTCTGCTGACAAGGCCATATTGCCAATTTACAAAGTTATTAAGTGGCACAACTCTTACAAAATATCACGAACAGAACTCATCTTCAAACTGGCTTGAGTTATCATTGAACAGAAGGCTATGTACAAATTTTATCCAACTCTTACGAGAAATAAATTTGCTAGAGTGCTTACAGTGTGGACAGATGCAGGGATACAATAACGGAAGAACAGACAGGGTTAAAGAATATGATCCCCGCCCACCAACATTTGGTCTCTGGGCCATAAAAATATTTTACAATGAATATCTAGTTAAAAGTTCAGACAAAATGTCAGATAAATGTAGTGTAGTCCATTACTGAATGTACTATAATATTTCTTTTTTTTTTTTATTAAAAACACAAAATCATTGAACAAGAAAAAGCCCTTGCAAAGTTATTAAAAAAAAAGTTTCAATGGTGTCTAGTACATTCATTATTATACCACCAGAGCATTGTAGGCAACTGAAAAATTAACACAAAAATCAATGGAACTCATTTTTGGGATGTGAACGTAGATAAGCTAAATCACAATTACATGTATAAAGCCAATCTTACAAACATATTAATACACATTGCAAATTATTCAGTTTGCATAGCACCGTGAAATCACAAATTGTCCATCTTGAATAATGGGTAGGGTCAGGTCATGACACAATTCTGAGAGGGGACCACCTAAGGAGTATTCCAGTCAATTTGGTTCAATTTGGCTAAGCAGCTGACTTTATCAGTTTATTTTAAGAAGATTTTTTTTAAATCAATCACAAGCTAACTTTTTTTTTTTCAGCAAAAGGCAAATTCACATATTTCTGGAAAAAAGAAGAAGTCACTACTCCCTCATGCTCAAGTCAAGAGTATTCCCTGTAATTCAGCATTTTTTCAGCTATATTATTACAAGAACAAGTGTGTTTTGTGTGTTTTTATGTCTGCATCGTACCAGACCAACATGATGAGTTGGATTTTTGCTCTGCTAGCTCACTGAAGTACCTGACTGCAGTATACAAGATACCTCAATCTAACACATTATCCTGGCTCCAAGCCTACCAGTCGATGTTCTATCCCTATGATGTTGCTTGCTTAGCACAGAAGCAACAAATACTATTTTGTAAATCGATGGTATGACCCTACCAGGGATTGAACCCATGATTTACCACATTCCAGGTGAGCATGCTTACCATTATGCCACAGGTGCAGTTGATTTCTAAGTGTATTTTATGCATATTCCAATTGTTTTGGTTTTTTTTAAGGAAATAAGGGCCTTTCTATGTCTGCCTTGTTAGAATTTAATTACCAGAGGCTCCTAGGAGCCTGTAATCGCTCACCTGAATTACCTGTGACCAGAATGTTGCAACTTTATGAAAATTGTGTTTTCAGATAAAAAAATAAAATGCTCCACTGGGGCGCAGCTTGATACGACCGCAGAGGTCGAACCCTGAACAGTTGGGGCAAGTATGGACACAACATTCAAGCTTGATACAGCACTGAATTTCAATTGTAATTAAATATTTGACACAGCATAGGTTTCTGACACAGTATGAAAGTGGTCTAAGAACTTAAAAAATTTTAATTAACCTATTCAAACCATATCATTATTATTTGCTTTTATATATAAATCAGAAATAACCAATTTAAAATGGTAAATTTTACAGAAAAAAAAATCCCCCCCCCCAAACTTTTTGAACCCCCTTATGATTCATCACCCCCAAACTCAATCCCAGCCTTCTCTTTGTGGTATGGTACCTTGCAGCACAATTTCAGAGAGATCCATACACTTGAACACAAGTTATTGTCTGGAAACTAGAAAAATGCTTGTTTTTTGGCCCCTTTTTGGCCCCAAATTCCTAAACGTTTAGGGCAATTACCCCCAAACTCAATTCCAGCTTTCCCTTTGTGATATGGAACCTTGCAGTACAATTTCATAAAGATCCATACACTTACACACAAGTTATTGTCCTGACACTAGAAAAATGCTTGTTTTTTTGCCCTTTTATGGCCCCTAATTACTAAAATTTTGAGGGAATTACCCCCAAAATCAATCCCAGCCTTCCCTTTGTGGAATGGTACCTTGCAGTACAATTTAAGAGAGATCCATACACTTGAACACAAGTTATTGTCTGGAAACTAGAATAAAATGCTCCGCAGGGCGCAGCTTGATACGACCGCAGAGGTCGAACCCTGAACAGTTGGGGCAAGTATGGACACAACATTCAAGCTTGATACAGCTCTGAATTTGGATTGTGATTAAATATTTGACACAGCATAGGTTTCTGACACAGAATGAATGTGGTCTAAGAACTTAAAAATTTTAAATTGGACATTCACATATTATGGTCCAATATCCAAAATCTAAATACATGGTTAGATTCAGCACATCAAAGAACCCCAAGAATTCAATTTTTGATGAAATCAAACAAAGTTTAATTTTGGACCCTTTTGACCTCAATGTGGACAAAGTTGATAACGGGGCCCAAAAATCTAAATACATGGTTAGATTCAGCATATCAAAGAACCCCATATATTCAATTTTTGTTGAAATCAAACAAAGTTTAATTTTGGACCCCGATTTGGACCAACTTGAAAACTGGGCCCATAATCAAAAATCTAAATACATGTTTAGATTCAGCATACCAAAGAACACTAAACATTCAATTTTTGTTAAAATCAAACTAAGTTTAATTTTGGACCCTTTGGACCTTAATGTACTCCAATTTGAAAACGGAACCAAAAATTAAGAATCTAAATACTCGGTTAGATTCGGCATATCAAAGAACCCCAATAATTCAATTTTTGATGAAATCAAACAAAGTTAAATTTTGGACCCTTTGAACCTCAATGTGGACCAATTTAAAAACGGGGCCGAAAATCCAAAAACTTAATACACGGTTATATTCAGCATATTAAAGAACCCCAAGAATTCAAGAATAAAACCCCATTGAAATTGATCAAGAAATAAGCAATTTATAAGAAGTATCTTCTTTTGCACAATACTGTGCAATTGAATATTTCTTGCTATTGCGCAATACTGTACAATTGACAATTTCTTGCTATTGCGCAATATTGTGCTATTGGATATTTCTTGCTATTGCGCAATACTGTGCAATTGAAGATTTCTTGCTATTGCGCAATACTGTGCAATTGAAGATTTCTTGCTATTGTGCAATACTGTGCAATTGAAAATTTCTTGCTATTGCACAATACTTATTATATAAAAATTTACACATCCTGTTTGGTGTGTATCTCCTACAATATCATTATTATTTGCTTTTAAATATAAATCAGAAATAACCAACTTAAAATGGAAAATTTTAAAAGAAAAAAAAAAGGAAAAAAAGAAAAAAAAAGAAAAAAAAAAAAATCCCCCCCCCCAAATTTTTTGAACCCCCTTATGATTCATCACCCCCAAACTCAATCCCAGCCTTCCCTTTGTGGTATGGTACCTTGCAGTACAATTTCAGAGAGATCCAAACACTTGAACACAAGTTATTGTCTTGAAACTAGAAAAATGCTTATTTTTGGCCCCTTTTTGGCCCCCAATTCCTAAACGTTTCAGGCAATTACCCCCGAACTCAATTCCAGCTTTCCCTTTGTGATATGAAACCTTGTAGTACAATTTCAGAAATATCCAAACACTTACACACAAGTTATTGTCATGAAACTAGAAAAATGCTTGTTTTTTGCCCCTTTTTTGGCCCCTTATTCCTAAAATTTTGAGGCAATTACCCCCAAAATCAATTACAGCCTTCCCTTTGTGATATGGAACCTTGTGGTACAATGTCAGAGAGATCCATACACTTACACACAAGTTATTGTCTGAAAGTTACAAAATGCTTATTTTTGGCCCCTAATTCCTTAACTGTTGGTACCATAACCCCCAAAATCAATCCCAACCTTCCTTTTGTGGTATTGAACCTTATGGTAAAATTTCATGGAGATCCATTCACTTAAACTAAAGTTAGAGTGCGAAAACCAATGTGTCTTCGGACGACGCCAACGACGACGACGACGCCAACGTCATACCAATATACGACCAAAATTTTTTAATTTTTACGGTCGTATAAAAATGCTTATTTTTGGCCCCTTTTTGGCCCCTAATTCCTAAACTATTTGGGCAATTACCCCGAAACTCAATTCCAGCTTTCCCTGTGTGATATGGAACCTTGTAGTACAATTTCATAAAGATCCATACACTTACACCTAAGTTATTCAGTCAGGATTCTACTTCGTCAAAATTATCTCCCCATTACGCCAGTTCATTTTCACAATCGTAGAAATGGAAGCCATTGTTGGGATGACGCTCTACCAATTTTGCTCTTAAAAACCGATAAATTTATCCACATAGCACCATTACGATCCTTATATGTCAGTTGTATTTTAAAAGACAAATGTATCTACTAGCTAATGAGCATCAGTTAATGATCTTGTCTGCATTGATTCAACTTAAAACTATTGTCTGATCGGTTGTCAGGTGGAATTTTCGAAAATTCTTAAACATTTAAAAAAATTCTAATTAAATATTTCGTGGAAGGTCAGACTAAAAATTTTCAGTGGTTGAAGATTATAAACCCTAGTTATCACACACAAAAAATTATATTTTTTCGAAGATATGCATTTTCATCATCCAACTTAAAAGACTGTCGTCAACTACTTTTAGTAAAAAAATAGCTATTCGAACACACCTACTCTGTTTTTGTGATTCATTAGATAGGTATTTCACTTGACCCATATATTTCATCTTTTCGTACTGTGATTTTTTTATGTTATAAAGTCAATCTGTAGCTTTGATATATAAAAATGATAGAATCTGAAGCGAGAAGATATATCAAATACTCTTGCTTTGTACGTTTTAAAGACAAAATATACACCTCAAACACGCCCTAACATAAAAAGGTGCACTCGATTTTCTCTTTTCGATACAATTGTTACCCATTTTTTGGAATTTTTCCTTGAGTCACATAATGGAAGGGCAGACACGAAAATTACTGAACATATAGATTGATATGTTCTCCATCCGTGGTAAAACAATTTTGAAAATCGGAGGTTATGCATTTTCTACATCCAACTTGATATATACCCATGTCGTCGACTTGATATCTAATTGTTCTGCATTACTATGTAATAGATAAATTGAAAACTTATGCAAATGGTGTTTTTAAAATAAAACACTTTGTAATTGAGAAGAAAATTGTCGTTTTATTTGTTTCTATTAACTTTTAAAATTTTTGTTACTATAGTAAACATTACAGTAAGCATTTATCGCCTTCTCTAACAAAGAGCTTCGATTCTTTTGTTCTATTTCAACTGGGTTTCCGCCTGTATTGTCATGAAACTAGAAAAATGCTTGTTTTTTGCCCCTTTTTGGCCCCTAATTCCTAAAATTTGCAGGCAATTAGCCCCAATATCAATCCCAGCATTCCCTTTGTGATATGGAACCTTGTGATACAATTTCAGAGAGATCCATAGACTTACACACAAGTTATTGTCATGAAACTAGAAAAATGCTTGTTTTTTGCCCCTTTTTGGCCCCTAATTCCTAAAATTTGGAGGCAATTACCCCCAAAATCAATCCCAGCATTCCCTTTGTGATATGGAACCTTGTGGTACAATGTCAGAGAGATCCATACACTTACACACAAGTTATGTCTGGAAGTTACAAAAATGCTTATTTTTGGCCCCTTTTTGGCCCCTAATTCCTTAACTGTTGGTACCATAACCCCCAAAACCAATCCCAACCTTCCTTTTGTGGTATTGAACCTTATGGTAAAATTTCATTGAGATCCATTCACTTAAACTAAAGTTAGAGTGCGAAAACTAATGTGTCTTCGGACGATGACGACGCCGCCGGACGACGACGCCAACATCATACCAATATACGACCACAAAATTTTTTTTGCGGTCGTATAAAAACTGAATTAAATGTTTAACTCTTTCAGGGCTATATTAATTCAAAATTTTAGCACAAAATGAATTTGTTTTTGCCATTAAAAATATATTTTTAATGCAGCTACAGTCAATTTTGCTAAAAAATTATGCAGTTGTTGCCATTTCAAGAAATTTCTATTTTTAGTAACTGTGGCCATTTTAAATGGAGGACAGGGCTACCAGATATAATTTTGAAAGGGGACCACCCAAGGCCCATCCAAGTCAAGTTTGGTTCAAATTGGCCCAGTAGTTTCAGAGAAGAAGATTTTTAATTGATTTTTTGTCAATATAAGCCTATTTTGCACATGTTGCATAGTTGGCAAAAGTATAAATTTTTCGAAAAAAAAAGCATTATATGTAAACAACTCCTTTTCATAAGGCTACAGTTCAAATTTGAGCCTATTTTGCTGAAAAATAAAGCTGTTTTTGCCATTTAAAGAAATTTCTATTTTTAGAAACGGCAACCATTTTAGATGGAGGACAGGGCTGCCAGATATCCTTTTGAAAGGGACCCGCCAAGGACCATCCACATCAAGTTTGGTTCCAATTGGCCAAATGGTTTCAGAGGAGAAGATCTTTCATTGAATTTTTGTCAAAATAAGCCTAATTTGCATATTAAGCAAAATCGGCAAAAGTATAAATTTTTCGGAAAAACCTGTATCATATGTTAAACAACTCTAAATGATGAGGCTACAGATCAAATTTGAACCCATTTTACTGAAAAATAAAGCGGTTTTTGCCATTTATAGAAATTTCTATGCATTTTACCCCTATGTTCTATTTATAGTAATGGCTGCCATTTTTGGAGAGCGGGGTCATCGGATACAATTTTGAAAGTAGACACCCTAAGGATGATTCAGGCCAACTTTGGTTCAGATTGGTCCAGTGGGTTCAGAGGAAAAAATTTTTGAAAAAGTTTACAGACGGACGACGGACGCAAAGTGATGCACAAAAGCTCATCCTGGCTTTTAGCCAGGTGAGCTAATAAACAGGGAAGGTTTGTGATTCCTTTTGCAGGTAAAGCTATATAAATATTGAAGAACAGAATACTGACCACATTTATTATTTGTATGCAATAAGGAACAGTTTTTTTCAATTTGTGTCACATAAAAGGGAAAAGCAGTTTACATTTTTTGTTCTAAAGCAACTTACCTCTACAACTGACACTAAAATTTGAGATTTTGAGAGTACAAGTCCATCCAACTGCTTTCCTTTTTGGAAGAAACAGAGGTCTGGTACTGATGACACAACTTTTTGATCTGCTAAATTTGTCCATCTCGTGGGTCTGCCATATCTTAAAAAGATGAATATGGTATTAATTTGTGATGAAAGTGCTGGTCATTCAGGGAAATTCACTTCACAACAGTTCAGACAGTTGTTGATATAAAATCAAAAATTTTGTAAGGAGACAGTAGTCAATGCAATAATTCGATAAAAAATATATAGATCTGCATTATCATTAATTACGGTAATATTCAAATTGTATGACAAAACAGAAGATACCCTGTCAATACATGGATTAGACTCTAAACATGCTTCTCAAGTTTTCTGACACTGTATCGGAAAAAATTCTTAAACTAAAGCATGTAAAGGTTAAACAAAGTAGAAATGTGCAAAGAAAATACTCCAAATTCTTTGCCGAAATGGAAAAAAAAATATTTTCAAAATTTATGTATAGGTACTAAAGTAGCTTCAGTTCAAAATTCATGGAGGTAAGACTGTTTGATGAAGTTATTCAAGTTTTAAAAACCTTAACATTACATACAGTCAGCCTAGTACAATTAGCAATAAAAAAATGTCCAAATTTACTGCGAAAACGGAAAAAAAATCATTTATTTTCAAAACTTTTGTGTATCTACAATATTTTGACCATAGAGATGTTTCTGTCCAAGTTTCATGAAATATATGAAGGTCTGAAGTAGTTAATTAAGATAAATCAAAGCACTTAAAGTGCTGATGGACAGGTTTTTTAACAGCCCACATAAATTATACTGGTCAGGCATGTCAGTATATTGTATATATGTATTCAAATAACCTATTCAATATTTTAATATGAGATTGGCAACATATTATTTTCAACCCATATTCAAAATTGATCTGTGTTTGGTGGTAATAAGCATTGTGTATAACTTTTATAACATTTGGTTGAGGGAAACTAAAGTTAGAGAACGGAAACTAATTTTGGGACGTACGGACGGACAAGGGTAAAACTTAATGCCCCCTCTGCCGTGGCTGGGACATAAAAAGGAATTTAACCAATTACCTATTTAGGTCTGATCAGATCCCATACTGATCATCTTGAAAAGGCCAGTAGGACCAATTAATGTAGTGTTGAATGGGTACCACTAGGGAAATATATATACTAAGTTCAGTTCAATTTACTACATTGATTTTATTTATTCATTTAGGGCATGGTGGTCATTTTCAATGACTGGCCGCATCAACTGACACAAAGTCACAAATCTGAATAAAGGGTTTCTGCCAATGAAGCAAAATATGGCTGGTAGTAAAATAAGAAAATTACCAGTATCTGCTACACTAAAACCCAATGTTTATATACAATTGTATACCTTGATTCCAAATTCCAGTATTATACAAAAATTGAAAACTGATCCCTTATATCTCTGAAATAGTAAGACTCACATGAAGTTGGCATACTACCGAAAAGTCTTGCAATAAGGAAATAAATAAAAAAAATTAAATAAAAACGGCATCAGAATCAGATGAAAAATCCCAATAATACACAATGTGATAAGCAATAATTGAATAAACTGTTATCACAGACAACTGTCTCGCCTGCTTTGCAGCAAAGTTTATTTTAGACTGTGTATATCTAAGAGTGAAATAGTTACAAAACCCCTTTGATATTTACCATGAATTAACACAATTTTCAAATCCTTGATTGATATTGACTGCACTATTAATGGGAATATTTAATTTGAGTTTTTTTTTCAGCAGGACCTCACAACCTGCATGAAAATGAAATGTACACACGCTAATGCAATATCATACCAAATATCACTAACCTATCATAAGTAGTTCCTTTTGAACTGACCTAATCACAAAACTTAACATACACTTTGTGGCAATTTCAAAGTCAGTGGACCATGACTGAGGGGGTAGGGCCTCACAACCTGCATGAAACTGAGTAGTACTGATGATAATGCAACATGATACAAAATAGCACTGACCTATCATAAGGAGTTTCTTTTGAACTGACCTAATCAGAAAACTTAACATAGAAACTGTGTATTAATTTCTAAGTCACTAGACTTTGACTGAGGGGGTGGGGCTTCAGTACGAGCATGAAACTGAGATGTACTGATGATATACAACATCATACCAAATACCATTGCCCAGTGGTTTCAGAGGAGACAATTAAAATGTGTAAAATTTTGAGGGACGGACGGAAGACTACACGGACAGACGACGGACGCAAAGTGATGGCAAAAAAATGAAATGTTAATACTACTTATACTTACTGCACTTTTAAATGACACATCTGGGCAAAACTTTGACAGACAGGAATGTAATAGGTTTCAGCAACCTCTTGCAATTGATTGTATTTGTCTTGAAACAATTTTAGCAGGATTGAAAGTTCTTCAATAAATTCAAATACCCTATAACTTGCCAAGACATCTCTAAAAAGATAAAAGAGAAATTATAATACATGTACCTTACACCCTGAGAGTATTGATTCATATACTATATTCTCTACACTTTTTGGTCTATTGAATGTTGTTTAAAGCCAACTTGAGCAATATTTCAGCTACATTGTACAACTACAACTACTACACAGTTTGGAGTAATAATCAAGTGAAATAAAGGTTTTATATGTAAACTACATGCATTTAATTAAAACTGTGCTAACAACATTTTAGAACTTGTTCATGGCACAAAGATTGTTCTCGCTATTCTACAAGTTTTTGAAAATAAAGTAGACTTGGATTCAGTCTTGGTCTTTTCTGATTTTTCATGATTGTTCGATCTCTCATGCTTAATAACACAATCTAATTTGTAGATTTTACACCAAGTTACAAATGAATTAGTTTTTGCGTCACTGTGAACTTTGCATGCAGAACACACCATCCCGTCGTCCCTATCGCCTAGCCAGGGTCTTTCACGTTCCCATTCGACAGAATAATTTCTAGACCGTTTAGTTTTCTCATAAAGTCATATTCACGGAAACCTCATCTGTCTGTCTCTTTTGTGGCCGTTTAACCCCGCTGATGTATATTTTGTACTTCCACATTATAAAAATAAAAAAGAAACTGTGCAATTTTTGAGTAGGGACGGGCAGGGACACATGTAATTTTCGTTTTCGAGTAGGGACAGACGGGTACACAAAAAAATATGCATTCATCGTTTGATTTTTTAATTGTAAACAAAAATATATATATATTTGTGGTTTTTGAAATACAATCGGGTCCCATCATTTATCTTGAATCATGAATTGATGAGTTTAGAGGCTGGGGGCCTATACTCCCGACTTAAAAAAAAACAAGTAGCCACCTTCTTCTTCTTTCCTCTATATCTTCCTCCAATAGTTGGAGTACACCAACCTTACTGAATTCAGGTTGGTTAATCCTTATAAAAATTATTAAGTGAATACCTAACTATTTAAAAATAACATTATGTACAGTTAAATCCCTGCAAAGATACTAATAATAACTTCTATGTACATTAAAAATGGGTCACAGTTTAAAAGTTATTAATAAAATTTTTAAAAATAAAAAAGTTTTGAATATTATTTACAGGGCATGCATTATAGTAAAAAATCTTTACATTTACTAAACAATGTTACTTAAAGGTAAAAAATAACGAGTTTTCAGCTTCCTGCCTGCTACATGCTGGAGTTACTACATCTGTCTATGAGCACTACTAGGCGATATAAAATCAACAAAATCATGCATATAAGCTTATATGTCCTAAGCGATCTAATTATGCATAGCCATTATCTATCTGTTATATATATATATATGTGAAGCTACTGGGTATTAAAGCTAACGATAAACATGTACATTTATTCCAACTATAGGTATAGCGCGGCACAACCACACTGACCAGTTATTCTAAAATTTCATGGATTTTCTCAGCATTTAATTTTACGTAAAGGATTGATAGGTTTAGCGCGGAACACCCACACTGACCTAGTTGCTCTGTCCAAAAACCTTTATGATGACTTTAGATTAAAGATAAACGTTGTTTAAGTTGTTTCATTTTACGGAGTTAAAGAAAGCAATTGAAGGTATAGCGCGGAACAGCCATATTAACCTAAATTAAATGAAGATTTGAACATTTAGATTTTCGCAGCATTTAATTCTGTGTAAAAGATTGATGTTAGGTTTAGCGCGGAACAACCACACTGACCTAGTTGTACTGTCGAAGAAGCATAAATGATTATTCCTTAGATTGGAGAAAAAAGCCATATTTTATTTTATGAAGTTGAAGATAGTTGTTTAAGGTTTAGCGCGGTACAACCACACTGACCTTATGACAACTAGACATTAAGAGAAGACACTCTTTTTAGATGGAGTCTATAACATAAGTTCCTGCTTAATTCTTCTATTGAATTAAGAAAAAGGTTATCATGAGGGAGAATATTGTTTAGAGCCAGTTGCTGACAATCCAAAATTAGTTGGGCAATACAAGTTCTCTCGTGAAAATTGGAATTCCACCTTCTTTTAAAAATCAAAACTATTGAAACAACTGTGAACTCACATGTGATAATAACCAGGATTTGAATTTTTTGCCTTGTATCCTCCTTCAAAGATAGAACGAAGCTCCTTGATAATTTCACCAAATACAGGTTCCAATCTAATGTATATGTCCCTTAAAAAAACACTCGATCGGCTCCGGGATACTCCAGGCTCACAAGATTCAAATTTTAGAAATGATTTTATTCTTTCAATATAATACTTTTGTTGATGTGAAAAGGGTTCAATTGTCTTGTCCAATAAATTAAGTAAATCCTTTGGAGTTTCGGTGTAACACTTGGAATAAAAAATGTGTAATCTTTCAGCGTGGTATAACTTCCAAGAAGACACGAATTGTGGAATATGATACTTTGAAACGTAATTTTGATATTGTAACCTGGGACTTAACCTGCGTCTCTTATTTTGCCTGGAGAATGAACTAGATGGCGAAGAAATATTTTCATCTTCGTGCTCATCAGTCCGAAAAGATATGTCATCGAGACTGTTTGCCTCCGAAATTGACGGAGATGCTCTTTCCTGTACACATGGTAGATCCATCTGGAGGTACGGAATCGGCCGAGTTGTGACGAATAAGGGGAGAGAAACAGTGTGGGATAATTTGTGTAACGCGTATCCGTACCCAAACCATATAGTATCGTCAACCGTGAAAAATAAAACTTTATAAAGTGGTCAATAATTGTATTTTTTGGTACTAATGTAGCGTTTTGTATAACTGTAAAGGAAATACAAACATTTTTTTTTTATTTCGGGATATTTTTCAATACCTTGAAAAAAAAGATTAACGATGGGGTCAAATGTGTTACCCGAACAAGCAAAATTAAGTATTACAGTCCCCTATTCCAGAAAATGATTGAATACAGAACGTACTTCCTAATGGTCCTCTTTTTTGGTATCTTTTGTTATATATATATACACATATTTTTTAAAGAAATTTATTCTGTGTATATGCCATTATGGGCTCTTTTTTTTTTTTTGGGGGGGGGGGGGGGGGGGGGGGGGGGGGGGGGGTACTTTGCAAGGTGCACTAGAAATTTTTATTTGCACAGGTGTTGCAACATATCCAGTTGAATTGTAGTAGATATATGCATTAAATAAGATTGTGTAAGTAACAGGTATTGGTCCACAGCTACTCGCAGCTTCACCCCAACTTTTGTGGTGGTTGATCCGGAACAGCTTGGTACAATGGATTTTGTTATACCGGATCAATATGGCAACTTCGCTGCGTGTGGTGAACTATAGTTACAGTTCATCTATATTTTATTCATATAAAAGTACATTTTATGGATCTCTGTATCTCAGGATCATATATCTATCTATCTATATATTGATATAGTTATCTGTAGGTTGCCAGAACAGTGACGTAACCAAAATATGAGTTAACAATTATCTCACATATCTATCAATCTATGTGTTATTGAAACAATATATATCTTATCTATGAATCTATTTGTGTTTACATATTTAAATTTGATTTCAATAATAATAAAGCTGTGGCCAATACTTCCAACCAATCTTAGTCTAACCAGCCATCTTGAATAATAAGACGATATGATATCCGATTTGTACTAGACTAACGCAATGAGTTGAATCTATATCGTGCTAGCACAATGCAGCAATAGTCCACAGAAATACATATCACCCGACTTCGACCCATTATTCTGATTCCAAGTCAACCAGTCTTCTCTTTTTTTACATGTAAAAAAATACAAAATTCAACGTAACAGTCCAAAAAAGGCATGTAAAGATGTTAATATCAGTGACAATACACCTACGTCATGAAATTGCAGTAATTCCGAATACATTTATGGCCCCAGTTCCCATGTTATAACAGGAGACCTTAACATCGTCCATGACCGAGAGTTGAAATCATTCCTCAGTAAAGGACCTTAATATCGTCCCCCGTCGATTATTAATTGGAATGAGTGTCGTAACATCATCCACGACTCACTCCGTACTTACTGCACGAAATGGATAAAACGAGAAAAAGCTGACAAAAAATCCTTAGATTCTTTTTTTAATTCAGTAATGAACATAGTTGATATTCGTATTAAACATTTAAAAGCACATTTTACTCCTAACAACAACTATAATAGCCCTATTTCTCGTATCAAACATAAGCTAAAAGAACTCGCCAAGGAATTTGTTTTTGTCCCGACTGATAAGGCTGCCAATAATATCATTATTGTTTGACGTAAATTTTACATTGAGGTTCTGCAAAGGGAAGTCACGAATTCACAAACATTCCAACTGACTCCATTTTCGGAAAATGACATCTGTAACAAACATAAACTTTTAGCTACCTCTTTACAAGCAGAACCAAATACAATGAAAGTTCCAACTATGTACTGGCTTCCGAAGCTGCACAAAACACCTTACAAATATAGATTTATTTCGTCTTCAAGCCATTGTTTCACTACTAAACTGTCTATTCTACTTACTAGTACACTTAGTACAATCAAAAACCTGGTAATAAATTGTTCAAATAAGGCCTTTGAAAATAGTGGAATTAATTACTTTTGGAGTGTCAAAAATTCGTTGGAAGTAATTGATAAATTGCATGCTTATATTGGTGATTTCGAATCTGTTCAAAGGTTTGCTTTTTCTACCCTATATACCACTTTGCCTCATAATCTCATTAAGAAAAAATTCACACACCTAATTAAATGGGTATTTAAAAAGTCAGAATGCGAATATGTATGTTCAAACTCTTTTAGGTCATTTTTTAGTAACAACAAACAAAAGAACTATGTCAATTGGACCTGCTTTGATACGATAACTGCACTTGAATTTTTACTAGATAACATTTTCGTTCGCTATGGAGATTCCGTATATTGTCAATTTATCGGAATTCCAATGGGGACTAACTGTGCACCACTTATTGCGGACCTGTTTTTGTATTGTTATGAGTTACAATGTATGACTAAAATCAGCAAAGACCCATCGAAACAACATCTGATACAAAAATTTAACACTTTTAGATATTTGGATGATATATTGGCTCTCAATAATGACGACTTCAGTATGTACACTAAAGAAATTTATCCTGCTGAACTGACTTTAAATAAAGCTAATACTGACAATGAACACTGCCCTTTCCTGGATCTTGATATCTATATCTTTAACGGGAATCTTAATACCAACATTTACGATAAAAGAGATGATTTTTCATTTCCTATTGTTAATTATCTAATTTTAGATGGTGACGTTCCCTTGTCACCATCTTATGGTGTTTATATATCTCAACTTGTTCGATTCGCTCGTGTATGTAATAACGTATTTGATTTTAACGAAACAAATCTCTGTATTACTGAAAAATTATTACACCAGGGTTTTCGATATCACAAACTAGTCAAAACATTTACTAAATTTTATCATCGGTACAAGGACATCATTCGTAAATATAAATCAACATGCAGACATCTTATACATTCAGGTATTTCACATCCAATCTGTTATGGTAATATTCTATACAAAGCACAAAAATGTCGTCATTCACCTCAAAAGCTAACCAAACCTTTAAACAGACTTATTCAGAAGGGATATAGTTACGATACTGTTGTCAGGTCATTAAAGATGGCATATTTTGGAATTAATATTGATTCACTGATAGGGTCTTTGCATCGAAAATAAACACATTTATTATAAAACCAGTTGGCATGATACGGGTTATGTTCTTCTCATATATTTAATGATGGTATGATACTAAACCCTAACGGGAGGGATTGTGCCTCATTTTCATATGATGAAGACATAATCTTTCAATCAGTTTAATTGAGGTCTGGAGCTGGCATGTCAGTAACTGCTAGTAGTCCTTTGTTAACCTATGTATCATTGTCATTTTGCTTAGTTTCTTTTGTTATCTACTCTGACATCGGACTCGGACTTCTTTAAACTGAGTTTTACTGTGGGTATTGCTGTGTGTTTTTTTATTCTACATTGGCTAGAGGTATAGGGGGAGGGTTGAGATCTCACAAAACATGTTTAACCCCGCCGCATTTTTGCGCCTGTCCCAAGTCAGGAGCCTCTGGGCTTTGTTAGTCTTGTATGTTTGTTTTAATTTTAGTACTTATATGTTTCGGAGTTTAGCGTGACGTTCATTTTCACTGAACTAGTACACATTTTTATTTAGGGGCCAGCTGAAGCCCGCCTCCGGGTGCGGGATTTTCTCGCTGTGTTGAAGACCCATTGGTGGCCTTGGGCTGTTTTCTACTCTTTGGTCGGGTTGTTGTCTCTTTGACACTTTCCCCATTTCCATCCCCAATTTTATGTAACCTGACTCGAACCCTTATTCTGATTCTGAACCGACCAGCCTTACCCCTTTAATGATGCGTACTAAGCAGAGAAGCCTCAACCATCATTCGTGCAGTCTTCGGTAAGAGCTGATCTGGAATTGAAGTTACGTTCTTCCCCACTCGAGTCAAGCACGCTATCTATTACACCACAGAAGTGGTTCGGAGGCACTTGGCCCAATCAAGTAAGATTATCAGATCATGAAACTTGGGAGTTAATTTGGAAAATGAAAAAACTAAAAGGTATTCAACATATTTGTTCATGCAAAAACATGCAAGTTTGTGTTAATATCAAAGATCTACTGTTAAAAGTTAGCGATCCAATAAGCACAAAAGTTGTTTGAATTTTGAGGATTTTCTTGAGAAACGACAAACAAGCTCTACGGAATATCATGCATTAAATCAGGAAAACAAGCCTCCGTATTTCTTTTCACTGTATTTGATTTAGAATTAAGTCTTACCATATCATCTATTGTTCAGTTAAATACGGGAACCAAACATGGCTTTTACAATACTAACTTCATTAAGGACAAAATATATCAAGTTTACATGAAACAACAAATACTTTTAATTTAATCAGATTTTATCCTTGATTAATGCCCTTTCCCACTCCACCCATTAAACGAAAAATTCAGAAAGGGCCCTAGTCACCTAATGATGGCCCTTTGATGAATTGCTGAACTGAAGCAACAGAAGCCTACATTATTTGAAGAACAAAAATATTTTCGAAAGAAATGGACAACAAACCTGCTAATTGTATTGTGCGAAATGATTATGCAAAACTTTGGGTAAATGATTACACTTATACTGTGGAAATAAATATACAAATGGGATTATACAAATCTTGAGGTAAATGATCACAAGACTCGGTTTCATTATTGCCGTTCCCATCCAACCAGTCTATGCGTTTTTTTTACATGTATAATATCTTCACATGTAAAACAAAACAAACTTTAATTTCAACTTTAATGTTACAGTCCACTGAAGGGCATTGGCACCTGAATCAGACTCATTATTCTGATTTCGATCCACCCAGTTTTATTCCTTATATTGATGCGTACTTAGCGTAGAAAAATGAATGCATATAAACGTGGTGGGAAAATAGAACGCAAAGGGTAGCACATTGGTTATTGTTTAGATCTTAGCTGCAACGAATGTACCCGCCTGATAGCAGATACCGAATATCAAATTCAGTAATTGTTTACGTTCAAATGGTTGTATTTATTTACTGCTTATTTAAACTTCTTCGCATAATGATATGCAATCACAAAAATTAACAATGGCGGAGGTATT